AGGCAAAAAAATTCCATTAGCGAATGAGTGGGGAGATGTATTCAAAACAACCCAGACGCTCTACTGCTGCGTCATACGTCAACGTAGAAAAATTGAAAGATTGAAATGTTAAACGGGTCACAAGACTTGAGACTGTTTTGGGTTAAATCGGTATTTTTACAACTATTACGGTTTACACAAAATCTCAGTTTACGTTTTGTGTCATCTTTAGACGGTATGTGTTGCACAGAATGTTCAGAGCTCCAGTGGATGACATCATCGCTAGAGAGGGAGAAGCTCTAGAACTTCTGTTTAACTCGTCCTCACGGCCACATGACATCAGTCTTCACACATCACCGCTTCCTCGATAATAGACAAATTTGTCCTGTTTCGCAGAAAGTGTCTACCTTAGCACAGACCCTTGAACATGAGCCTCAAAGTGATGGGAGAACCCTCCACCTCTCCCATCGACTGCAATATAAATTCGGGAGCTGATTTCCAGAGAAAAGGTGAGTCTTTTTTATAACCCACTCGTGTGTCCACATTTTTGGCTCCAGAAACACAGAAGCCAGACAATCTGTGCACAAAGATCTTGTGCTGATCATGGTCCGTTTATGGTTCTGATAGGAGTTACCATTCTCTTCAAAAATAGCAGTTGCTTGAGAGGCTACATTGAAAAACACACAAACTCCATCACCATCATATGGATATTAACTGTAAAAGTGTCTCAACCTGGTAACACAAGCTTTCTTGGAGGCTCTATGGTAGACAGCTCCACTGCCACACACATCAATACATTTTGGATTACCTTCAAAATAAGAGTCTCAACATGGTAAGAGGGAATTATTGGCTCTGTTGTACCAAACCTTATGCAAATGCAATTTATACTGCCAAACACAGAAGCACAGACACTTTCAAAATAAGAGTCTCAAAAAGGTAAGAGGTCATAGGTCATAAAAGTTTGATCTTAGAAGCGATCGTCTCTATGAGGATATAGTGGTATAGCTTTATAGCAGATCAACTTCTGTTGGGGCATGAACATGTGTGTATACATGTACGTGTGTGTGTACATGTCTTGCTGTGGTTGTGGGGACACAGTTGTGTTTAACCCATCAGTGTGAGGTTATTGTGTTCAGTCGTCACAGCTTCTAAAGGCTTTCTGAGGGACAGCTGCAGTGACTGAGGTCAGTGTCAGGATGAGTCTCTACGACATGAATGAAACTGAAAGTAACGTCCTTTGTGCAGATTGAAACGAGGAGTGAAGTACACGCACCAAGCAGCAGCAACATTCAAAATCTCTCCAGGAGTTTTCTAGTTGTGAATTAAAGTGTTTGTGTACCTGTACAGGTGTTTTCATGAACTGTTATCTCTCAGGACCTTCGAGGATCAAAGATTTCACTTTGACGTTTAAGTTAATTTTGTCTCAACACCTTAGAATGATGAAGTATTTATACATCAGGAGGCTACAGTGAGGAGGCAGGCCGGGGCTAGCTGGTTAGCATGCTAACTTCAGTAGTAGTAAAGATGTAGTAGAGACCAGAGTTAACATCTGTGTTTGTCTCCACCTCTGGAGACAGATGTTGGTGAGTAAAGGAATGATGTTTACTCTAGACTGGTCAGTAAACAGCTGCTAATGCTAACATTAGCTATGTAGTATAGCAAAATGTACAGCTCCTTTAATTAAAGGATCAGAGTTCTTCACTCACAAACTGCAGGAAAAATATCAGAAAGACCAGCAGGAACCATGGAGACCTGACAGAGGGACAGAACGGACTGAGAACACCCCGGAGACCAGACCAACACATCAGGACACTGAACATCAAGACACTGAACATCAGGACACAGGACATCAGGACACTGAACATCAAGACACTGAACATCAGGACACAGGACATCAGGACACTGAACATCAGGACACAGGACATCAGGACACTGAACATCAGGACGCAGGACATCAGGACATCAGGACACTGAACATCAGGACACTGAACATCAGGACCTCAGAACATCAGGACACTGAACATCAGGACACAGGACATCAGGACACTGAACATCAGGACACAGGACATCAGGACACTGAACATCAGGACGCAGGACATCAGGACATCAGGACACTGAACATCAGGACACTGAACATTGGGACATCAGGACACTGAACATCAGGACACTGAACATCAGGACACTGAACATTGGGACATCAGGACAGTGAACATCAGGACACTGAACATCAGGACACAGGACACTGAACATTGGGACATCAGGACAGTGAACATTGGGACATCAGGACACTGAACATTGGGACATCAGGACACTGAACATCAGGACACAGGACACTGAACATCAGGACACTGAACATCAGGACACAGGACATCAGGACACAGGACATCAGGACACTGAACATCAGGACACAGGACATCAGGTCACTGAACATCAGGACACAGGACATCAGGTCACTGAACATCAGGACACAGGACATCAGGACGCAGGACATCAGGACATCAGGACACTGAACATCAGGACACTGAACATCAGGACACAGGACATCAGGACACAGGACATCAGGACACTGAACATCAGGACACAGGACATCAGGACACTGAACATCAGGACACAGGACATCAGGTCACTGAACATCAGGACACAGGACATCAGGTCACTGAACATCAGGACACAGGACATCAGGACGCAGGACATCAGGACATCAGGACACTGAACATCAGGACACTGAACATCAGGACACAGGACATCAGGACACTGAACATCAGGACATCAGGACACTGAACATCAGGACGCAGGACATAAGGACATCAGGACACTGAACATTGGGACACTGAACATCAGGACATCAGGACACTGAACATGAGGACATCAGGACACTGAACATCAGGACATCAGGACACAGGACATCAGGACACTGAACATCAGGACATCAGGACACAGGACATGAGGACATCAGGACACATGATATCAGGACATCAGGACACATCTGTAAAACACCTGGAGAACATTCAATTTTCTTAAAGTCCTCATGTTCTTCATGAGTCTGGATCAGGTGAGAACAGGGAGATTGACTGTCTGTTGTGTCTCAGTTGTGACGTCCACTGATGGAGAAATGTCCTCACTACAACCTCTATGGACTCTGGACTGTCCTGCCCTGGGTTTTGTCTGTCAGGCTCCTCCCAGTCTGTCCTGCCTTATTGGTGGAAGTTGTTGGGACTGAATATCACACTGAGTGCGACCTGAAGGAAGACTGCAGGACTGTTTAAGGCTGAGACAATCGGGTTCTGGATGTGAACCCGTCAGACTGTTACAGGACTGGAGATCTAGTAAAACCCTCTGTTTGGTCCAGGCGGTGCAGTAAACCTGACTGCAGCTTTAAAACATTCTGATCAAAAGATGTTTCACAACCAGAAGAAGTTGAAGCTTGTCCTGAAATTCAAAACCTGTGACGAGATGAGGAGATAAGTTTCTATTTTCAGCTGCTCCGCAGTCAAACCTGCAGAACCCAGATCAGATCTCAGACCAGATGTAGGCTCAGATCCAGATCAGAGGGTCGGTGAAGCAGCAGGATATGAGGGTGAAAGAAAAACATCTTGTCAGCTCATATTGTCAGGGTGATTATCATTGACTCACACTGAGTCCTGAGTCCTGATCAGCCACAGTCTGGTTTCACTGTAGATCTCAGACTCTGATTCATGGGAAATAAATTGATTAAAGTCTGGATCCTGGTGGAACCAGGTTGGTCCAGTGTACACCTTCATATTTCTGTAATACTGTGAGCCCTGTGGGTCCTAGACAGGACCAGGAGTGAACAGCTGATTACATCTGAAGGTCAGAGCTGCTGGTCTGGACTCATGTGGTCTGAGGTTTCTGTCAGACCAGGATCTTCAGGTGGGTTTGGGTCCTCAGAGACGGTCTGAGAGGAGGATGAAGATGAAGATCAAACCTTCCAGTTGCTTCAGTTTCTGTAACAGAGTCTGAATCTACATCCACATTCCTCACAGGATTAACTGTGTGTGGGTGGTTGAGGTGGGGGGGTTGTTTTAAGGGGGGGGTGGGGTTATATTTTTCCAAGAAAGCTTTCCAGAACTCACACTCGGTTGGATTCATTGATAAACTACACAACACATCACATCTACACACACACTACACACACAACACACCACACACACAACACCACAACACACACACACACACACACACACACACACACACACAACACAACACACACAACACAACATTTAAGTGGTTAACAGATGTGCCCCCCCCAACACTAATCCAAACGTCACCCTCTGATGAGGAGATCAGAGAAAGGTTGAGCAACTGAACCTGTTTGTGTCACAACCCTGTTCTGTTTTTGATTTTGGTTCAGGTTCAAGTTCTGGTTGTGGTTCAGGTTCTGGTTCTGGTTCTGGTTCAGATTCACCTTCAGTTTCTGGTTCTAGTTCAGAATCAGGTTGAGGTTGAGGTTGAGGTTCTGGTTCTGGTCCAGAATCAGTTGACAAATGAAAAGTTACTGAGATGTTTCTTTAGTCATAGAATCACTGAGACCTGATCCACCAGCCGTTCATTCATCTCAGTTCCTCTGTAGCTGTGACCCAGATGGATTCGGATGGATCCAGGTGAATCGGACCCTCTGCTACAGTAACGTGGGTCCAGTTTACACTTTCGTTCACTGCTGGATTCATGTGGGATCATTGATTCAAACCGTCACTGATTCTGTTTCTGCTTTCATTTTGTGTCCGGTCGTTCTCCTTCTGTCCACCAGAGGTCTCCACACTCAGTCACATTAAAGCGGAACCTTCAGCCTCTGGTGTTTGTTTCTGCGGACTTCGTGGTCTCTGGTCATGGCTCTGCCGCCCCCTGCTGGCGACAGCACGGTCACACAGCTACAGTCTGCTGCTCTCAGATCAGTTTGTGTTCATCGCAGGCGCGTGGGGCGGGGTCGGCTCCACTGACCAATCACAACGGACCTGGAGCGTTACCAGGGAAACGGCGTACAGGGCTAGGAGACGGTGGGAGGCAGCAGTAGCTAGGCTAACAGCCTAACAGGCTGGTTAAAGGGACAGTTAACTCACCAGCGGCCGATAAATATTTAAAAATCTCTCCCGTCAAAAATCAAACGTTACAGCCGGTGTCTGACTCACGACCCGCGGTCACCGCTTTACCGTCTTTCGGCGCTGGAGAGCTCGCATGGCGGCAGCGGAGTCCGACTGACGAGGCTAATGCTAGATGTGGTGGCTAGCCCGCTAACCAGTCACCAGACCGACGCGTTACACAAATATTAGTAAAAGTCTTCATGTGCTCGGTCAGCAGGGAGCTGGCTCCTCGGTGTCTGCAGCTGGAATGGATGTGAGTTAACGGCTGGACTGGGACGGTCTGACCCGGAACTGTGGCTCTCTTGACGGAGTCTGGGTGTCGAGTTGACCCCCCCCCCAGCAGCAGCAGCAGCAGCAGCAGCAGCAGCCCGGTGCTCTAAGACCGGGGCACGGCGGAGCTGCACGCCGCCGGTCAGGCCCGGACTCTGGGATGAAATGCAGCGGAGCGCAGGGCCCGTTAACCCGAGCTAAGCAGGTGAGCTGCCTCCCATACCTGTTCAGGTGTGACGTCCTGTCAGAGTCACACCTGTAGTCGCATCAAATAGGATTTTATTAACCATCGTTCATATGGGACGATTACTGATGATCTATCAACCATTTAATCTAGAACATGAAGATATCTAACTAATTATTATATTGTTAATACATTAATCAGTAAATTATCTGCTCTGTGAAATGAATGTGAAACAGATTCTCAGACATGAACCAGAGGAAAACAGCAGGTTGTTTTCAGGACTTCAAGCTGAAACAATTAATAGATTTATAATTAAAACTAAATTCAAAACAAACTAATTTGATAATCAATAAATTGCCTCTAAACAAACATTCCAGTGTTTCAAACTTTCCCTGTTGTCTGTCACAGTGAAACATTTGAAGTGTCTCTTCAGACTCCTGGAAACTGATTAATTGATTGTTAAAATAATCATCAGTCTCAGTCCTGATGTGAAATATTGATTCTGAAGGTTCAATACTTAATTGATCATTACAATAGTCGCATGACACCATCAGCTCCTCTGTGTTTCAGTTTGCATCTCAGCTGTGAACCTTCTCTCTGTTGTTGTTGTTGTTGTTGTTGACATAACCTCTGGTGTTGAATCTGTCAGCAGGATGGATGTGTGCAGTAGGAACCCGAACCGCACGGCGCCGGTTGGTGAGGATGGCCCACAACGAGTCGACGTGCCGCTCTGCTCTCGGACCAACGGCTGGACCTGGCCTCCTCATCCCTTCCAGCTGTTGGCCTGGCTGCTCTACGTCTACTTCGCTGTCACAGGCTTCGGCGTGTTCGTCCCCCTGCTGCCGCCTCACTGGATCCCTGCAGGCTACATCGTATCCTTAGACTGTGAGGAGACCAGGACCACTGTGAGGACAGGGTCTGAGACAGGGTCTGAGGAGGGGATACGGTCTGAGGAAGGGATAGGGTCTGAGGGGGAGACAGGGTCTGAGGAGGAGCCAGAGTCTGAGGAGGAGACAGGGTCTGAGGAGGAGCCAGAGTCGGAGACAGGGTCTGAGGAGAGGACAGGGTCTGAGACAGGGTCTGAGGAGGAAACAGGGACTGAGGAGGAGACAGGGTCTGAGGAGGAGCCAGAGTCGGAGACAGGGTCTGAGGAGAGGACAGGGTCTGAGACAGGGTCTGAGGAGGAAACAGGGACTGAGGAGGAGACAGGGTCTGAGGAGGAGCCAGAGTCGGAGACAGGGTCTGAGGAGAGGACAGGGTCTGAGACAGGGTCTGAGGAGGAAACAGGGACTGAGGAGGAGACAGGGTCTGAGGAGGAGCCAGAGTCGGAGACAGGGTCTGAGGAGAGGACAGGGTCTGAGACAGGGTCTGAGGAGGAAACAGGGACTGAGGAGGAGACAGGGTCTGAGGAGGAGCCAGAGTCGGAGACAGGGTCTGAGGAGAGGACAGGGTCTGAGACAGGGTCTGAGGAGGAAACAGGGACTGAGGAGGAGACAGGGTCTGAGGAGGAGCCAGAGTCGGAGACAGGGTCTGAGGAGAGGACAGGGTCTGAGACAGGGTCTGAGGAGGAAACAGGGACTGAGGAGGAGACAGGGTCTGAGGAGGAGCCAGAGTCGGAGACAGGGTCTGAGGAGAGGACAGGGTCTGAGACAGGGTCTGAGGAGGAAACAGGGACTGAGGAGGAGACAGGGTCTGAGGAGGAGCCAGAGTCGGAGACAGGGTCTGAGGAGAGGACAGGGTCTGAGACAGGGTCTGAGGAGGAAACAGGGACTGAGGAGGAGACAGGGTCTGAGGAGGAGCCAGAGTCGGAGACAGGGTCTGAGGAGAGGACAGGGTCTGAGACAGGGTCTGAGGAGGAAACAGGGACTGAGGAGGAGACAGGGTCTGAGGAGGAGCCAGAGTCGGAGACAGGGTCTGAGGAGAGGACAGGGTCTGAGACAGGGTCTGAGGAGGAAACAGGGACTGAGGAGGAGACAGGGTCTGAGGAGGAGCCAGAGTCGGAGACAGGGTCTGAGGAGAGGACAGGGTCTGAGACAGGGTCTGAGGAGGAAACAGGGACTGAGGAGGAGACAGGGTCTGAGGAGGAGCCAGAGTCGGAGACAGGGTCTGAGGAGAGGACAGGGTCTGAGACAGGGTCTGAGGAGGAAACAGGGACTGAGGAGGAGACAGGGTCTGAGGAGGAAACAGGGTCTGAGGAGGAGACAGGGTCTGAGAGTCAGTAAGGACATTCAACCTCAGCTGTGGTGATGAGGAGAGAACAGCTGATCCTGAAGGTAGAGCTGTGTGTGTGTAGTTTACAGGTGTGTAGTTGAGTTCAAAATGAGGCTGAGATAAAAGGTGGGTGTCTGACGTGGTCTGATGTTGATGGGTGTGGTCTGCCATTGATGGGTGTGGTCTGCCATTGATGGGTGTCACAGGAAGTCTCTGGGTTTAGGACCCAGTGGACTGGGACACTGGGACTCCTGGACTCTGGTACATGAACATGCTGCAGTGTGTGTGTGTTGATTCCTGATCTGTGTGTCAGTGTACGGGCATCACGTTCGTGTGTCACCTGTGCGTCCACCTGATGGCGGTGTCCATCAACCCGGCCGACTACAACGTCAGGACCAAGACCAGCAGAGGTCCAGTCCCTGTGTTTGACCGCTCCAAACACGCACACGTCATCGAGAACTGCCACTGCTACCTCTGCCAGGTTGACGTGTGAGTTACACACATGCTGATACACACAGGACACACACTTAACACACACTGAAACACACAGAACACACACTGACACACACTGACAAACACTGAACACACACTGAACACACACTGAACACACACTGAACACACTGAACACACACTGAAACACACAGAACACACACTGAAAACACACTGACAAACACTTAACACACTGACACACAGAACACACACTGCCACACACTGAACACACACTGAACACACACTGAACACACACTGAACACACACTGAACACACACTGAACACACACTGAACACACACTGAACACACACTGACACACACTGACAAACACTGAACACACACTGACAAACACTGACACACACTGACACACACTGACAAACACTGACAAACACTGAACACACACTGACACATACTGACACACACTGACACACACTGAACACACACTGACAAACACTGAACACACACTGACACACACTGACACACACTGAACACACACTGAACACACACTGACATACTGACACACACTGACACACATTGTGACTTTAGATTTGCTGATGTGACTCGATCTGATCCTGAGTCTCAGGAAAACAGGTTTGCAACTGGGTCAGAGCAGCCAACACAAACTGTAGTCTGCTCTCAAATCCAGGAGATACTACAATACCCATGAGCCTCAGCCGCTGCTCACACTGTTAATAAATAAAAAGATAAATACTGACCTGTGTGTGTGTGTGTGTGTGTGTGTATGTGTGTGTGTGTGTGTTTGTGTGGTGTTTCAGAGGACCGAAATCGAAGCACTGCAGTGCTTGTAACAAGTGTGTAGCTAACTTCGACCATCACTGTCGGTGGCTCAACAACTGTGTGGGCAGCAGGAACTACAAGTGAGTCATCTGCTCTGTGTTTTATATATATTAAAATCTGCATATTAACATCTGTTTATTAACATATATAAATTAAACATGTATATATGGTTATGTGTGTTCTGCACTGATTTGCTCTGTCTCCACATTAACATAAATCCTCCTCTTTATTTAGAACAGATCAGTGTTTGACCTCTGCAGGTTCATGTTCCTACAGGAGCCAAAGGGACAAAAGAGGTTATAGATAATGTTATAACTCTGAATACATAATGAAAATTAAATAATCATTTTAATAGTTTGATCCTGACAGTGTGAAGGTTTTAACTCCTCTTCATCGCTGAAGCTCAGACAAACTAAACCCAGACTTGACATCAGTTTTTATCTGCATCACATGACCAGAGTTTGTTCATCTTCACACAGAAACTGTCATATAAGAATAAACACTTAAGATCAGAGGTTGTCATCTCCTCCAGACCAAACCTCATAACAACACAGAGGTCAATAATGATGATGATCATTCAGGACTGAACTGAGATCACTTTAACCTCCTGTTTCCAAACAGCTGATTCTCCAGCTGTTACCATCGATGCGATTGGTTAGTTCCATCACACTGAGATAGTAAACAAGTACATGATGAGGTCTGCTGACAATATAACAGGTCCTGTCATTGGCTCATCACAGTGAGACTAAATATACTAAGACACTAAATATAAATAAATATAAATTCAAATTAGAAAGCACACTGAGAGGTTTTTAAACATTTAGATCTTTTTTTAAAAAAACATTTAAAAACAGTACATAACCAAAATTCCAGAGTGGTTTTGTTTTGTAAATGATCTGTTGGTCCACTTGCAGTACCTTCACGGTCCACCAGTAGGCCCTGGTCCACATGTTGGGAACTGCTGCTCTAGTGCTAGCTGTGGCTATAACTGGATCTGTGTGTACTCAGTAGTGCTTTCTAGTACTCAGCAGTACTCAGTAGTACTCTGTGTTCTCAGGTTGTTCCTCCACAGTGTGGTCTCGGCTCTGTTGGGGGTCTGTCTGGTTCTGGTCGTATCCTCGTACGTCTTCATTGAGTTCTTTCTGGACCCGTCCAAACTGCGCACTGACAAACACTTCCTGGGTGAGCTCTGACTTCTGATCTCTGACCTCCTCTGTTGTTACTGATCTGTGCAGTGACAGTAAAGTTTGACATAATCTGATGTGAACACTGTCTCGCCTCTGTGTGTGTGTGTGTGTGTGTGTGTGTGTGTGTGTGTGTGTGTGTGTGTGTGTGTGTCAGTGAGGAATGAGACAGGTTTGTGGTTCGTCTTCTTACCTGTGGCTCCGGTCAGATCAGCAGCAGCTGTGATTCCTGGTCTTGCTGCCGTCACCATCGCTCTGGGTCTGCTGTCATCAGTGCTGCTCTGTCACCTGCTCTGCTTCCACATCTACCTGAGTACGACCAACACACCTGGGACCTGTTCACCTGACTGTCAGTCAGATTGTTGACATATTAAATTACATCAGAGATTGACACTTCTGTTGTTACAATGTGTGTGTGTGTGTGTGTGTGTGTGTGTGCGCGTGCGTGCGTGCGTGCGTGCGTGTGTGTGCGTGCGCGTGCGTGCATAGTGTGGAACAGACTCAGTACCTATGAGTACATCGTGCGACAGCGTCATCGTCATGACAACAGGAACTCCAGGAAACCAGGACCAGTGAAGGAGACAGCAGCTCCTTCAGTCGTCAAGGTAACGGACAGGGGAGGGGTTGTTTGGTTGTGGGAGGGAGGGGGTATTAAATCTTGGCCCTGAGTGTCCTCTGCTGTCCCTGTTCAGGATGTGGACTACTCAGGGACTCTGGGCTACACCAACCCTCAGCTGGACGTGGAGGATCCTACTACTGTGTCTGTGCAGGGGGAGGCAGAGTAAGTCTTTCACCCTCCACCCCCCCTTTTCTCCGGTCCACCCTGGTGTTGGTGTGTCAGGCAGCAGAGGTCCAGGTCTGTTGTGATTGGCTGAGGTTGGCTGACTGGGTCCTGACACGTCTCAGTAAACAGTTGTTTCATAACAGTGAGGCTGGACCATCGTCGCCATGGAGACGGTTTTCTTTGCTGTAAACAACATGAACAAAATGAAATTCTTTGGCCATGACTTCCAGGAAGCAAACAAAGTGTGTATTGTATGTGAGGGAGGAGGGAGGGGGAGGGGAACGGGGAGGGAAGAGAACAAGTTTGTTTGTGTGCCAAGTTCATATGCGTGATGCTGAATGTTAGAGGCCTTGTCTTGAACAAACAGAGTTGATGGCAAAGTGTATTTAGAGATAGGGTGGTGAGAAATGTAAATGTTGCCAGGTATAGTCAATGACATGGGGTTCATTCAAAA